CTAAGCCTGGGTCTATACAGCCAGAATTTATTGTTAGAAACAGGCGATTAAGGAAAATTTGTGCGTAATACGTTATAACCTCCAAAACCTGTCATGCGTTCACAGCTATTAAGACTTCTCCAAATTTCCCTCGAGACGTCTTAAGCTTTGTAATGTAATACTGCGGAACCATTATCAACATCGAAGAGTTGTGTTGCTTTTAAATTGGTACATTGACAGTTTAAAATTTTATGTTTGGTTACCTGTTTATAATGAAAAAACTACCTAAATAAGCCAACTACGTCCTGTTGTCAAACTTTGCTATCATGACGGGTGTGTGTAGTCAAAAATTTACCAGTGAGCATACACGATTTAACTCGTCGAATACCGTCATTATAGACACAAATGTATAGAACAATAGGTTGCGGTCACCGGTGACCGCTTGGTGTTTGACAGTTTAAATCTAATTCAATAGAAGATAATAATATAATAGATAGAAGATAATAAAACCGTAGGAAAGTGAAAACTGAATATTGAATATTTTTTTAAAAGAATACGAAAAAAGAATACGAAAAAACCAAACCTATGTATTTTAGAATCTTTGTCTGTTTGTCTGTATGTATGTCCGGGATGAACTCAAAAAGTGCATGGATTTACTTCAAATTTTGCATGATTATTACTAACAGGTCGGGTCAACATATAGGCTACATATTATTAAACATATATCCTTTTCTATCGTATCTTAGTCCATTTTGAATTGAACTTAGACAGCAGGTAATTTAGGTGTAACCTTCAATAATCACGACATCACTAGCATTAACCTGCAAATTACTGATCAGCAAACGCCTTTGACACTTCACATTTGTTTAAGGTAGATAAGTGATTTCAGACTTATGATTTGAATTTTATTATGAGTTTAAGTATTTTTACGACGTTGTCTTTAATGTACGAAAAAATCGTCATATCTCACAAAAATATCAAATATTTCCTTTATAGAATTAAAGAAAGCTGATCGTGGAAACGTCGCATCAAACGTTGATGATTTCTTCCAATAGGAAATTGGATCGTGTGTGCCTCCGAATTCCAATTGCTCGTAATCAAATAAACGTATGTCTTCGGGATAATAGAATTCCTTACATTAGGGCTGACATGATAAATGTCTAGGATTCGCTAAGTAAGGGACTTAGGCACAGTGTTATATGTAAAATATGTGGTACTGTGGTATTGGTTTTGGAATTTGGGTGGTGTGAATTATGTTGTAACTAGTGAGAAAGCATTTGCTTGGAATAATATAGTGAGTGTCTCGGTTAATGTAGAAATCATTATTAAACGTATATGTATGGCATCTTACTAAACAGATATGTATTACACATAAGTTAACAGTTTGCCTTGACATGTTTTACCGTACAGAAAACTTAAGGTATTACATAACATCACGCCTTTTATCCACAAAGGGGTAGGCAGAGGTGCACATTATACCACTGTACAATATAATACCCACTTTTCATTATTTATGTTATGAGTCCCATGTAATAGGGGGTGAGCCTATTGCCATATACCGGGCACAATTCCAGACTTAGTGCTACTACTGAGAATTTTGTAAGATATTTTTTGACACAATCTTATTTTATTCCCAAAAAAGTAGACACATGTGTACATCACATGCAGTCTAACACGCAATTTTCACCAGCTGCAGTTGTCTTTCATTAAACCTTTACCTAACCTTTGAAAAGGAATCAAAACCTCGACCTTCAACCCTTCTTATTGCTTACAACACAAACGGCAAGACAACTATAGTTCTTGTATACAGATCTAAATACATTTCTTTCCTTCATTTGTTTTTAATCTCTAATGTTTAAATGATCGCATGATTCTCAGGAAACTGTTTGACCTCGTTACACCCTTGAGGGGAGGATTTTTATAAAATTCTTCCTCAGCCAAATACTCACGCTCCATTTTATTAGCTTTACATTTCATGGGATTTATTTGTGTAAAAGGATGAAAAAAGGGCGCTGCCAGTTTGTTTGATAAAGTCCGAAATTTAAGCGGACGAGATTTTTTGATCAAGAGTTAAAAGTCAAAAATGCCATGATAATATTGCAGAATTTGATTCACAAAATGCTTTGGCTAAATTATAATTCATGTTTGCCAGGGAGTCTGTAACAATGGGTAATAAAACGTAAACTGTACTAGTTTTTTTTTTAAAAAAAAACAAGCACTGTATCGACAAATATACAAAGTTGATTGGTTAAAAATGGTATTTACACTTATTTACTCCCTCAGTGCAACCAATGTATATCCAACATGGCGCACCTACTAGAGTATACCCAGAAGAATTGTAACATAAAAGGGATGATTTGAATAACAGTGAGAAATCACACAGAAGATCTAAGACAGTTCTCTTAGATCTGTTTTTTTATGGGAAAACTTGGTAAACGAGCAAATAGATCACCTGATGGTAAGCAATCGGCGTCGCCCATGGACACCTGGAATACCAGAGGCGACAAAAGTGCGTTACCGGCCTTTTGGGGATTAGGAAATTGATGATTGTTGGGAATCAGGCTTAAGTTTATTTACTAACATCAATGGTATGTATCTATGGGCCATAGTTGCCTGAAAATAAAGTTGAAATAAATAAAAAATTAAGATATTGGGAAACGGAGAGGGGGTGGAACCGTGCGTCCGATAACCTCACTGACACGACGAAACACAAAGCAAGCGTTATTTCACGTCGCTTTTCCGTGAGGCCGTGGTATCACTCCAATCGAGCTAGCCCATTCGCGCCGAATAATGACTCTCCTATACTTAAATTAACAAACAGCACTCAAACACCACTGGCTTTTTCAGCTAACAACAGGCATGACATTAAACAAACACATTTGAACACACCAATATTTATACAATATACATATATCATAAATAGAATCAATGCGTGACACCGCAACATTGCGTTTGAACATAAACCCAGAACCTATAGTGATCCCAAAAACTAACATTTACTTTTATAGCCCCTTTATAGTTTAGCTTTTATTTCTAACTTTTCTGATCACGGAGCCACTGTAAACGGTACAATAGTGGAAAAGTCTCCAGGGAAAATAAAACTACAGGTCTTTGAAGGAAATCTTAAATTAGATTTGTTTCTTGAGACGGTGTTAAAGGTTGTAAAGTCATATAATGCATTGAGAATGGGTCTACTCTAAGAATTAATGTCGACAGTATCGTGGTGGATCGGAGGTTTAAGGCGCTCGCTTCTTATACATGATAGTGCGGGTTCAAAACCTACCTACGGCAAGTACCAATGTGACATTTACCGAGCTATATGTACTTTCTAAGATTATTCAGATAAACGGTGAAGGAAAACATCGTGAGAAAACCTGGGCTTATAATTTCTAATTGTAAGTTTGTAATCGCTAACCCGCATTCAGCAAGCGTGGCGATTAATGCTCAAGCCTTGTCCGTGTTTGAGAGGCTTTGCTCAGCAGTGGGTATTATAGGCTGTAATGTATGGTCTTAAAAATTTTAACATTATTCTCATCGATATCAATAGCAGCAAGTGGCAGTGTACCTACTACTGGACTGTGGAAGAATTTGTCATTATCTTGATCTTTGGTTACCGGAGAAACGATTGCTTAATGCCAAATTATTCAGGTTCAGCAAATGTTCTAAAAATTATGAATTTCCTGAGAGAAGAGAAGTTGGTTAAAATTTTATTATTGGCAGTTGTATAAGTTAAAGATAACTTTATAAGTTTCAGGTAGGTGCTTCAGTTTGTATAATATTATTATGAAAACTGTACATAATCTTAGGTATAAATATTTTGTAAAATGTTTAGATAACGTGTGATTTTCATTTTTATTCTAAAATTTTAATAATACATACTATATTGCTAAATTTTATAAAAAATACTAATACATTTTAGAATACCGATGATAATCACAATTTATCTAAACATTCTACAAAATATTTATACCTAAGATTATGTACAGTTTTAAGGCTTAAAGTTAATCATTAAATTAAAATCTATAAATAACATGTAGCTTTTGTTTAAGTATAATCAATTCAGTTTTTAAAATTTTTGATAAAGAGTTATTTTTCATTAACAAAATAACATTAATACCAATAAAGAAGGAATTTGAACCCATTAACTATTATCATTATAATTCTCGCTGGAATCACTACAAAACTAATTTGCTTTCTATCAAAATATAAAAAGTACATATAGTTCTACAAAATTCTGAAACTTCTTTATTTTTAATATTTAATGATTATTAAATATACAACCAACATATCAATACGTTAATTATAATGATAAGTAAATTCATTTTCCTCTGCCTACCCCTTTGAGGATAAAAGGCGTGATGTTATGTTAAGTAAGTAAATTAATTAATAAAAATGTGTCATTATAATAATAACGTTTCTAAAATATAAAATATATTTATATGAATAATAATGTCATTAATTTATAAAATAGGTACCTACGAGTAAAAAAATAATTTAAAATTGAATTAAAATTAGACTCGATATCCACCGCTTTATTATTTACCCATATTTTACATAACCGGCCTCATATTAAGAAATAAATATATTTTTTTCTCAACAGTATAATATACAAAGTTACTTAACTATATATTACGATTAATAAATATAATAACTTTTAATTCATATCTGTTAATAAATCACCTTTCTACCAAGTCTTTAGCGTGTACGTAATTGTGAATTTAGCACTTAATTATTGCATTTTCTTACAGATTTAATTCGTGTATATAGTCAATCTCTTTTAAATATTCATATGATAATATAGGTACCTAAATTATTTTATTTAAATGCTAATTTATTGCATATCACATAATATTTTTACTATACCGGTATGAATATTAAAAAATGTTATCATCATATTTTGCTATAAATTAATTTTGTTCGTTAGAAAAACACAATACTGTAAACGTTAAAGCGAAATACGCTCAGAAATGTCGAAAAAACCTTAGAAAAACGTGAAAAAAAAAATCATGAAAATTACTCACATAGAACGAGTCTAGCGGCAACGAACAAATCACTGGGATACACTATTGACACAGCACTGAAGTCTAAACACACTGAATCAATTTAAAAACACTGCACTCGCCTGCACTTCGTCGACCAGTCAACATACACCGAGTTTATATTTTGGCTATTTTTTTAACATTCGCACGTGTATTGTGAGGGATAGGGCCGTACCGAGGCTTGCCAACGTTCAGGGTACACTGAAACGTTCAGGCCGGGCCTTTCGCTCCGTTACGGCTATCTCTTTCTCTCTCAGTACATTTCAGGCGGTTTCAGTCTTCCATCTCGTTCACACGCCCTGAAAGTGTACGGAGAGTACTCGTAATACGTATAGGTCAATATGAAAGCTCCTCGGTTGCTGGAGGCTGCAGTTAGGGTGGATATGTTAAGGGATTTCCCGAGGATATGTCAAGTTATGTCATAAATGGTGTTCGGTTCTTGGGGATTTGATTAGGAATTGTGTTTTGATGTTGTGTCTTGGGTATTTCGTGTGGGTATCTAGTTTTTTTTATAGCTTTAAATATTTTTTGTAGATATTTTAACTGTGATGTATTTGTACGATGTTTATTAAATTAGATATATTATTTTCTGTATAATTATAAATACCATTTTTGTTTATCTGTCAAAGTTAGATCTTAGGTTACCGTTTTTTCAGAATTTACTTCGTTATTTAGGTAAATACAACTTAAAGAGATTGGTAACAGCTAAAAAAATAACACATCAGGAAATAAATCAACAATAGCCATTCATACTCCAAATCATCCAAAAGCTAAATTTCCATGCATACAATTTACTAAAAATTATACTCATTTATAGACATACTCCTCCATCCAACATAAAAATATCGTCCTGTATATTTCGTCTCTCGGTTTACACACCCTATTGAATCCAGTCCGTATCAACGTTTGTACGCATGCGCCTTACAGACATCACCGCACAGTTTCGTCACACACCCCTGAAAATTAATTATTCGAAACACTAAACTTACTCTTTCATTGATACGATTTTATTTATGTTCATTTCAAAAAAGTTCATTAATTGTACCTAATATTCAAGTATGCAATTTGAATACAACCGTATTCAAAAATGACATTTAAAATGTTATAAATAAGTAACATTTTGCCGATATCATTGATAACTTTTAATTTATCTCTTTTAAAAATAATCAAGTGTATGCTAAAATGACATCTATAGTGTTATTAATAAGTACCATTTTGCCAATTTTGATTAAGTTATGAAGTTGCGTCTAAGTGATGACAAGCGTTAGGTTAGGAATATGTTAATACTTAGTCGGTTGTTCGTTAAAGGGTTTGGTAGAGGAGTTCTTTTAGTAGATTCCGCTTTTATCCGGCTTATTAATAGACTTCAAAAAAAGAAGGTACTCAGTTCGACCTGTATGTATGTATATTTGTATTTGTGTATCTCGCAATTGGCTAAACCTCCTTTGATGTGGTTTTATTTACTCATAGAAAAAGGTTGTAGTATATTAATTACCCGACTCCACAAAAGAAGGCGAAATGAGTTGAAGTCGGATTTTTAAAACATAATTTATAAAAGGACTATTCAAACTTTGGAATATTCGTTCAGTTTTCGGTTGTCAGTAATATTGTTACTATAGGATAAACACTTTGATATCGATATTATTGGGATATCAAAAATTGTATAATGTTCAGTCTGTGTATAGTCTTATCCCTTCTTAGGGGTCTCATAACATTGCTGGTGGAACGTCGATTTTACTTTATATTTATTTATGCACAGCTGACTATACGGTTGGTGCGATGACTGGGCAATCGACTGCCATGCAGCGTGTTGCGGGTACGATTCCCGCACTTCCGTGCGATCAACACTTTGTTTGATACACAAACTGTTGTTCCGGGTGTCATGTGTACTTCCAATAAAGTATGATTAGATATCTATTTTAATAACATAATAGTAATGGGATAGAGTATTAATCTAAAATCGTCTTTATATTAAACTGTCAAACACCAAGCGGTCACCGGTGACCGCAACCTATTGTTCTATAATTGTGTCTGTATTGACGGTACTCGACAAGTTTATTGTGGTTAAGTACAACATGAATTGAAATGTTATTATTAAACAACATTAAATTCAATAATCTCACGGCTACCCTGACTTGTGCCGATCAAAGACTGTGGCACAAGTCACCAAGATTGAAACGTCTAAAACAAAGTCCCTTTTCAAACTAATTGAAAACAAACTGTACCTCTTGATAAGTTCACGAATAATAAATTAATTTAGAACTCACCTATTTTGTTTGTATTTTTCTTTCTTTGGTTCATGCTTTAATGGTAGCAGTGTTAATGTTTAGGGATAATTGGGATGATGACAGGGTATGAAAACTAAAAATATAATTAGTACGTCAGTTAGGTAATGAAAAATATTAGACTCGTATTTTTTTTTTCTCGTATAATAAAACAACAGA